AACTTGTCGTTTTAAAGAAAAATGTTAAATACAAAAGTTGTAAAGAATAGAAAAATGTACAACTTTTAAATATTTAAATGGCAAAAATAATATTTGGTTTATACCTAGTGCTACTAAACGTAAATCATGTTAATAAAATTTCACAACTAAAATAACTTTGTTATTGCTTCTTTATTTCGTTTTAATACAAGTAACTAGAGAGAGTAGTATTAGTCTGTGAATGGACAAAGGGAAATAATGATGAGAATGGCCTTAAAAACAAGTCGGAACATTGGGCGCAAGAGGAAAAACGATGAAGGTCGCGAGTGCAGGGGAAAGGACGATAAGAGTTTCTTTTAAAAGTTCATGATCCATACAGAAAGCTAGTGCGTTATAGAATATTTGGTTCGTAGCGACCATTATCATTCTGTTTGTGCTTTATTGTATACCTAAGTCTTTTTTAGTTAATATTTGTTTGCTAAAAAAGAAAACAGACGGAAAGAAGAAACGACGTTATGAAGAAATTGAGGCTCTCAACACACGAAACAGCTCCATTCTGTAAGTGTACTCAATACACATGTTTTAATAAAATTACAGAATGTGAAAGAAAAGATTGGATTACCATTTTAATAATCTGGAGACTTACGACAAACAAAATTCCTTTCTTTCAGGACTGATTGTTGTGATACTCATGCAAACGTGAGAGCCGTGCTTGAACCCAGGTGCTTATAATCGTGAAAAAAATGCAGCATATTGTTTAAGAGTTAGAGCAAATGTTAATGGAGCCATAAAGAATGTAACTGTTTGCTCCTAGAAAGGTTCAGACTATTCATGAATCGCTACTTGCTTATGATTGTAGCCCAAAAGATGAAAGGAAACAACATTTAAACTGACCACATAAACTTTTAGAAGAATACATTGGTGACTGACTCGACTGACATGAAGAGCAAAATGTACAGCAACTCCTGCCCTAAAAAAGTTGTGCACTCAGCCATCCAGAGACAAAATAGTCAGCTATTACTGTGGATTTCCAAAAAAATCTTCCAACTCCTAACATCGCTACCAGTGATGTCTATTACAGATAGACGTATTCACATTATATCCAGTGTAGGTGCAGCATTCCACATATAGGATGAAACAGTTGCTTGTAAGTAGTCGGATAATGTATGTTCTATGCTCAACAAATTTGTGGAAAAATTTTTGCCTGACAAAATTCGTTAATTACAGTTTTTTGCGATTCTTGCGGAGAGTAAAACAAAAACAATACTTTAATTCGCTAGCTCCATTATTTCGTGACTGAAAAACATCGTTTCGACAGCACTGAAGTATTTTTCCTTATTCAAGGGCACTCGCACATAATATTATCTTGAGCTACATAAATCTAAAGTCCTACTTTGAATTACCCAATGAATGGAGAAAGGTTATTAAGCACAGCAGAAAAAGCCTTTACCATTCGCTGTGATTGACTATAAAAAAGAGCTTTTAAGGGCCTAAACTAAGTACTTGGCGCCAATTTACCGACAAAAGGGCCCTTTTATTTTAAAATCTTAAAAACCTTTACAAAGTCCCATTTTCGATTTCTCAACCCAAGTTCAGTGACCTGCAATATCTTAAACGATTTTTGATCAGCCCAGATGCCAGGACTTTTTATGATAAGTTATCTATATCTAGAGCCAATGATACAATGAAACATAGAAAACCTCTACCTGAATTATTTTTAGATTTAGATTTTTAGATAACGTATGGTCCTAAAGTTTTGGGAAAAATTTCACCTGTTCTGATTGATAAGCAAAATGCATTTAACAAAGAAGGCCATGGAATTGAAATGTCATCAATTATTGACATTTAATAATTAAAGCAGAATTTTTTGTTTCGTGCTCTGCAAAATGTCTTATAAAATTGATATTCGTCGAGGTGTTTATAATCGAGATCAAAACATAAGCAAATCGACAATTTATCGCACAATCAGAGAATGTGAAGAAGGGATACATGTGTCAACTTGCGTAAAAGTGGCCGACTGCGAATTTTGAACCATATAAGAGGGGCAAGACTGATTGAAGCAGCTAAGAACAAAATTGGGGTCTCACATCGAAAACTGGCCAAAAGATTTCATATTTGAAAGACTACAGTATACAGGACCCTATCGAGTAACAATATTATCTACTGGAAAAGAAGGAAAGCTCCAAAACACACAGAGATTCAATTAGAGATAATTCCGAGATGTTGCCGCGCGTTAAGGAAAGTGCATTACATCAACAAGTTGATCGTGATGGACAATGAAACATATTTCACTTTGTCCAACTCTGAGATGAAGGGTAACGATGGGTTTTACATGAACGATTACGAAAATGTACCTGATGAAATATCATGGACCGAGCATGTGACAAACAACGAAGTCATGAAAAGCATCAACAAAAGAATGGTAGTATCGGAAACCATCAAGACACGAAAGTTGCAATACCTGGGGCATGTTATGCGTAATGAGAGATACAACCTACATCAATTGATTATACAAGGGAAAATTCAGGGCAAGAGAAGTGTAGGAAGAAGAAGAATCTCATGGTTGAGTAACTTGAGGGAATGGTACGGATGCACATCAATTGAACTATTCAGAGCAGCAGCATCTAAGATCAGAGTAGCCATGATGACTGCCAACCTCCGTCGCGGAGATGGCACGTGAAGAAGAAGAAGACCTGATAAAATAAAATTCAAAAGTAAGAAAAAATTCGAGGACAAAATTTTGGATTGGTGTTCAATTTCTGAGGCTAGCTTTATCTCACAGCCCTACATTGGTGTTGTTCGAGGCAAAGCCTTAAACGCAAATATTTATATTCAAAGATGTCTCTCTAAATTGCTTCAGTTTGTGAACACACATCGTCCAAATGATCAAATAGTCTTTTGGCAAGATCTTGCTTCATGTTATTACGCGAAGATCACAAGGGACTGGTACGAAACTAACATTACCTTTGCACCGAAAGCAGACAATCCCCCCAACTTACCTCACGCTCGTCCAATTGAAGAGTTCTGGACAATATTAAGTCGGAAAGTCTATAGTAATGGATGAGAAGCTCAAAATCAGGAACACTTAAGACGCCGCATATATATAAAAATTAGAGAAATTGACGCCAAGGTCGTCCAAAGCATGATGCAACCTGTCAGGGGAATAATTAGGCAAATAGAAAATAATGGTCCCTTGTCTGTCATTTGAATTTTGATTTATAATGAGGATAGTTAAGTTAAATTGTTGAATAATTTATTAAAAATATAAGATTATTGTGGTCAGAGTTATATGCTTTTGACATTTTTCTCAAAACTTTAGGACCATACGTTAAAGACGAATAAATGGATATTTTTTATTGTAAAACGTTTTTAAAATTCCATGAACACCATTTTATATGACAAATAAACCTTTTTTCACCTAAAATTGCTCATTTTAAATTCCCCTACTCACCATTTACATATTCACTTAAACTTTATTGTAGCACATGACGTGTACACCTTGTAGAGTACAGATATTACTAACATTAGTTTTTAAACTATGGTTAGTTAGTTATTTAATATGTATATACGATAGACAACAACAAAGCATAAGAGAACGAAAGAAAAATAGTGATGGAACATCAGATTATTTACGATTTTGATCATATTTATCAAATACGAAATGTTTTGTCTGATTTAAATATTCAAAAAATGTGTCTCTTTAAAGATAATATTTGCATTGATTTAGAAGAACCCTTAGTTAAGAAGTCCTATTACCGGCATATTTTCAACACTGAGTTTAATTTAAAAATCTACCATCCTCATTTAGACACTTGTAATAAAGGCTATTGATTGGTAAACTTATTTTTATCAGCAGCTAGAGAAGAGAAAAAGAACTTCAAAACAGAAGCATAATTTTAGTTCATGACCAATTTATCCACGAATATAGTAAATGGCATAGCTTACAGTGACTAATGCGGTGGTGAGAATAAAAACAAACTTATAAGCAAAATATTCCTGACCATAGTTCACATTACACATATTAAAATATTTAATACAATTTTTTGGAACCTGGGCACTACTATCTGTTGTCTGAGTTTCGTCTTAATAGAAAAACTAAAAAATTAAAAATACTATGATTTGTGTACCTGATCACTGGTGCAACTCTAAAAAATGAATTTTTTGATCATAAACCTACAGATTTTGTATCCCTTTAAATAATTCTAATAAAAATCCAAAAAAGAATACCCAAAATTGTGTTATAAAATATAGAGACATTAAATGGTTTAAATATATTAAAAACCAAACATAAAAATAATTCAGAAAAAGACTTCCTTACTAATTTTTTTATCTGAAAAATGCACAAAGCATTTTTTACAGCCCGCAAATAATGTTACGTTGGAGCCTCTATATTAACAAAATAGAAAAAGAATTTGGCCTAAACATAAATATTGACAAAACAAAATTTATAGTCACTAGTGGACAACAAAATAATCAAGCCCAAATATTATTTATTAGACAGTAAACCATTAGAAAGAGTTGACAAGTTCAAATACCTTAGTTGCACTATAAATATTAAACTAGATAAATAAACTGGATAGAAAAACAATTAAATAACCTATACTTACATCAGTAGTAGTAAGCATTAAATTATCACATAATCATTACCATCATCCTGTTCGGCTCTATTAGTTCATCACCTGTAATATTCCTACAACTCAAACATTTAAATATTTTCATAGCTCAACACCTGGCCTAAGCTTAGCAGTCCATCCAGTAGTCACCGCCTCAGTTACGCACGAGTGCAAGCCAATGATGTGGTAAAGTCGTCTATAGCCACGCCTTTTAACTAACTTAGCTTCTTTTCTTGTGGACCACCTATAGGACTGAGGACTGCATTAGCTGTTAATAAGGGGATTAACGTGGTGTCGGAAGTAAGCTTTTTTAACTGAGTGTTGTTTATACCGTTTAGTGATACATGTACATTTGGTTTAAAAAAAATTATACGTTAAAATTTTGTGTATTTAGACTTGACATGAACTATGATTGTGAATAAATTTTTGGATTTAAGGTAAGTAAGATAATCTAAAATTTCCTATTTTACTGTATAATATAATATTTCGTTGTTCCACCAAAAAAGTACCTATGGTCTGTTTTTGTTTTTTTTTCGGTCATTTAAACCTTCATTTTTGTGTATATTTTGCACTTCTTATTTTCCGTAGTACCTAAATAGTCTTTATCTTCTAATAGCTGCCATCAGTTTGCTCTTTAATTCACTATAAAGGTAATAGACTCAATACACAGTTAAACAATAAATGTAAGGAGCACTCTTTTAATTTTCGAAATAGACTGTTTGTAATAAGCTAAAATTTTATTAATATTAAGCTTCCATTCATTGGGACAATCTAAACTTAAATATTATTGACAGTTCAGTGAAAAGTTTTTGTTAAATCAATAGGAATGTAAGTAGTTGTTTTGTATCCCTAAAAGGGTAAAAATTAATAGTTTTCTAGGTAAGGTGTCGTTCAACCTCCAAGCCAAGAAAGTTATTAGTGAAGAAAAGAAAAAAGCTCTTGTAGGTACCTACTACATAAATCTATGTGTGTTATACATGACTACCCCTATAAAATTTCAAACTTAATAAAACGCCAATCGTTTGCCCAATCATAGTGTAGTAAAGTATTCCCTTTCATAATTTCAATTTCATAACATGATCCTACTGAATATACTGATTATATTGAATGTAATTCATTCAGTAAAAATTGAAGCATCTACCTATATTTTCTTTATTTGACGTCTCTTATGATACAGGTTTATCTTAGGGGTTACATCTACTACCATTCCTATTCTTGCTTTTTATGAAGTTATATTCCCTAAGTTTCTATTGTTTATCAATAATTTGAACCTATAATATGCAGACGACGAATTCCACAGCAAATATCTACTTTTATGATGCCAAAAACATTTGAAATTTGAGAGTACACTCATGGGACCAGGCCATGAAATTCGTCTTCTTCCGATGCCTCTTCTGCCATCTATCTTTCCCTGCATTATGAATCGCAGGATGCCATACTTCTCAGTCCTGTCACTTTCATATTTCCTAAAACCGAAAATTTAAATGAAAATTTAAGATGCAGTCTTCGAGTGGTATGGTACATGGTTATCCAGGAGGTCCTGGATTACAATGGAGCCCCGATAAAAAGCATAGCGATCGCGAAAGGTGGATATGTATTTATCCTGCTTACATCAACAACAAAAAAACATTGGCACAAGGGAGAAAAATAGCCAAAGAAAGATGCGTGGAAAAGCCATACTTCTCGTCGCGCATCACATGTTCAACTTCCTTCTCTTTACCTATTCTTCTCAGTACTTCATTATTCGCAACTCTATCGAACCAGGAAACCCTCATAATTCTTCTATAGGTCCACATTTCAAAGGCGTTAAGTCGTCTCATTATGTCTAGATTTAACGTCCATGATTCCAGTTATAAGTATGGAACGACTCAATTATCTAGAAGACGGCCTGCACGATTTTGGTGTGTACGAAAGAATCATGTTATTAAAACTAAAGCAAAAATAGTGCTGCCACCCGGAACTAGAGCAACCGTGCCTTCTTTTGCGAGATTTTAAAAATTGAATCAACAGTGCCTCAATTAGCAAATTGTTTTAATCGATTAATATTTTGATACCTGTACCAAAAGGAACAACGAAGAGGTGTCGTTATGTAGTATATAAGAGTGACACACGCTCAAAGTAATTTAAAGACAATACATATTAGTTATTAGTTTATACATTTTCCAAAGCTTTCTTCATAAGCAATGTAAAGTAATGATAAACTATTTAATTTATGTCTTTTTTATTCTGTCATTACTTTTACCGCTTGCATTGCTTATTGGAAGGGTCAAATAAAGTCTTAGGAACTGTTATTTACCGACAAAATGTCTCGAAATTTGGACACAATATTCGAAGCTATGTTGCTTTTAAAATGATGGTTTAACTTTTTTTTATTTTTTTGTTACTTCTGTTAAAAAATTGGACTATACTGTTTAACGTTCTATTATAACCAAACTTTTTACGCCTATCGCCTGAAAGAGTTTTTTTTTCTGTAATCGTTGATTTTTTTTTCACCTTTCTGCGTCCAGTAATAATCGAGAAAAGTGTGTTCAAACTTGCTAAAGTTTGAACACACTTTAAAGAAGAAAATTGCTAAAAAATACTAAAATCTAATAGTGAAACGTGTTACTCATCATTGTCGCTAGGTTCACCGTTATCGCCTTCGTGACTTCAAATCTCATGAGCGTACGGTCAGTTAGTTCGTGTTAAAACTAATTTGAATGGAGAGTAATGCATTTGTTGCCCGTTGGCCAACGCCACTGAGTAATGATAGTCTCGCGTAAGTAGTGTAGAAATGTAAGTGAAATGAGCAGTGTGCTTGAACTGCTAAAACAGCCTTAAATTTCAAAATATTTATCATTATCTGTGGGCGCTGCAGCCCTTCATAAGCCCTGGACTGCATCAAAACATTCTTTTAACCTTCCCTGTCGAGTGTCTGTCTTCTTTATCCCCTTACTCCAATTTCCCTTAAATCGTCTAGAACAACGTTCAGTTAGATAACTAAGTTATGGTCTCCTCTTTCTTCACCTTCCGACCGGATTATTTAGCATTTTTATTTTAGAAGAATTACTTTCATCCATTCGCGTAACGTGACCCACGTAATTTGATGGTTTTCACGATATCTGCATCACCAACAAGTCTTTAGAGTTCGAAATTGTATCGCGATCTCCACAAATCCTGTTCGTTTTACTCAGCCATATATTACTCCAGTCGTCAGAGACGAAAATGCCAATGAACCCCTACAAATCATATGAACAAGCTAAATTTTACAGAAAATGTCAATTTTAGGCCACTAAGAAAGATGCAAAAAAGTTTACCACTTTTACCCACGGGCTTTCAACTAAAACCCCTCACGGAGAGGGAGAAAAGCGGAACAAATCGATATAAAGCATCTGTACGTCATAGAAAAAAATGTTTTAAATAAAAGATAATTCTGAACAAAAACGTTTTTAGTATTTTTTGCGTAGAATCAACCGTTCTCTCAGAAACAACGATTGCAGCTATCGGAGATTTTGAATGTGTTACGCGCGCGAAATCAATGCTCATTAAAATTTGTATCAGCTCGATGTAAAAATTCAATATTTGAATCAAATTCTTTTGATTCGAGTGTGCTATCGACTATATTACTGAAATCAGACAGCAAATCTCAGAGTTAAAGGTGATCACACTGGCTATGTGAGAATCATGCGTGGAGTGAGACAAGGCTGTATTTTGTCTCTTCTAATCTTCAATATGTACTCTGAAAGAATATTTATCGAAGTTTTGCACGAAACTGAAAAATGTATTCTACTAAAAGGTAACTGGTTAAACAGCATCAGATATGCAGATTACACTATCGTATTTGAAGACCTACAAGTTCTTATGAACCAAATCACATATTAGAGTCAACAATATTAGCAAGAAAAAGATAAAAGAAGGTCAACTCTACGCCACCCAATCCCCTGTACAAAGAGTGACGCACTACAACTACCTTGGCATCATAATAAATGAAGAATGGACCAATAATCAGGATGTAACAATAAAACACTGAAAACTTTGTTTTCAAACTTACACAAAATTTATTTTAAATATTATCACTACATCTGTTTCGGCTGATTGCCTTTCTCAAGTGATCTATTTTGGCTTGGGTTTACAAATTTATAGTCTCTAATGAAATAGGTTGAGAAGGGGAGAACTGCTTGTCTCAAGTTGGTCATTCAGAATTATATCTTTGTTTTTTAATTTGTTGATTTCCATAGATTCTAACAAAGATAGCTTAAGGCCTTTATTTTGAATGTGAAGAATTTTAAATTTGTCATTAAAAGAATGATTATGATCTACAAGGTGAAGTGCGTATGTCGAATCTGTTTTTCTATTATTGAAAGCCCTTTTATGTTCTGCTATTCGTTTATCAAAGTTTCTACCAGTTTGACCGATTTATGTTTTTGGGCAGTCGCCACATTGAAGTTTGTACACACCACTATTTTATTTTGGCTCTTGTTATTTTTAATATATTTGCCTAGGTTGTTATTTGTTCGGAAAGCTGGTGTTATTCCTTTCTTTTTTATGTGTTTGGCAATTTTTGTTGTTATTTTGCCTGTATATGTAATTGAGCAGAAGGTACTGGGTTTTTTCTCTGGTGGTGGAAATACTAATTTCAGGGCTTTCTTGTGTAGTTTTTGATTTAACATTTTAATAATTGTTTGTTTCTTGTATCTGTTGTTTACTGCTATTTGCTTAATTATATTTAATTCTGTCTCCAAGTTGTATTTTGACATCGGAATTTCTGTTAATCTATGTTAACATACTATGATAAGCTGCCAGTTTATGTTGTGTTGGATGTTTTGACGAATTGTGTATAGTCGTGTCAGTATGGGTAGGTTTATGAAATATGGAGAAGTCATGTTTGTTTTGAAGTCTGCTAATTTTTAAATCTAAAAAATTTATGGATTGATTTTGTTCTGTTTCTATTGTAAATTCAATATGACTATGAAGTGAATTAATATACGATAAAAATTGGTCGAGTTGCATGTTAGTTCCTGTGAAACATACCAGTACGTCGTCTACGTATCTCCACCAATATAAAAACTGTTTGAATACGGGATGTTTTGAAATCTTTGTCTCTAGATGATCCATAAAAATATCTGATAGCAATGGGCTTAGAGGATTACCCATTATACGTCCTACACTGTTATTTGTATATATTTTATTATTAAATTCAAAGTAGTCCTGGTTTATGCAAACTTCAAGAAGATGTAAAATTTCAGATGTACCTAATTATTGGATTTGTACTATTTTGGTCTAAAAGGTTTTTTACTAGAATAAAAGTTTCTGTAGGAGGGATACTAGGAAAAAGATTTTTTACGTCAAATGAAATTAATCTGGAGTTGTTAGGTAATTGAAAATGTTGTATTTTATTAACTAGTTCTATTGTATTTTTTTATGGTAAATTTAGGTGAAAATTTAGTGTGTTCTAAAA